ACAGCGCCGCTGGAGGTCTTCGAGGGCAGCGCCGTGCTGCTCTGCTCCGTCGTGGGTCAGTGGAGCAGCTTTACATCTCTTTATTCATCTTATTAATAAGTCCCGCCCCCTGTCAGAAGGCATGCTATTGGAGCAAAGGACTCTCCTTCTTTATTGAACTATATGTAATAAGTCCCGCCTCCTCTCTGCAGGCATGCTGCTGGAGCAGTTTGCGGCGCAGGGTCCTGCTCTGCAGCTCTTGGACTCCTCTCAGCACCACTGGGTGTTCCTGATGAACTGGCAGCACAGCACCATGTACCTGTTCTTCTCTCTGTGGGCCGCCGTGTCTCTGATCGTCCAGAGCAGCGAGGCGGCGCCGCTCGCTCTGGACCGCCTGATGCTGGCCGTCGCCTTCTTCAACGAGGGTGAGCAGGACCGCTTTAATGTTCATCATCAGATCAGGAGGTCACGATCTGATTTAAAGACCCAACCAACAACTGCGTCACTGACAGTTTAATGGGTGTGTGTGTGTGTGTGTGTGTGTGTGTGTGTGTGTGTGTGTGTGTGTGTGTGTGTGTGTGTGGTGTGTTGTGTGTGTGTGTGTGTGTGTGGTGGTGTGTTGTGTGTGTGTGTGTGGTCAGGCTTCCTGTTCCTGTACCACCTTCACGGCCGCTCTCCTCTGGACGTCCACCTCCACCAGCTGCTGCTCTTCTGTGTGTTCGGCCTGGCTCTGCTCTGCTTCCTGGAGGTCTTCCAGAGAGGGAACCTGGTCCTGGAGCTGCTGCGCTGCACACTGACGCTGCTGCAGGGGAGCTGGTTCTGGCAGGTAACACACACACACACACACACACACACACACACACACACACACACCACAAACACACACACACCACCACACAACCACACACCACACACACAGCACACACACACACACAACACACCACACACACACACTCACACACACACACACCACACCACACACACACACAACACACACACACACTCACACACACCACACACACGACACACACACACACACACACACGACACACAGCACACACACACCACACACACACACACACACACACACGCACACACTCACACACACACACACAACACACACACACCACACTCACACCACCACACACACACACACACACACACACACACACACACACACACACACACACACACACACACACATATCTACGTGTATGTATATGCATATCGAGAGTAACTAAGTACATTTACTCAAGTATTTGAGTAACATTTTCAGGGTACTTTACTAAACCAGTGTTATTGTTATTACATTTCTTTGTGCAAGCTATTTTTCTGAACATTTATAAGTTATACTTTAAAAAAGTGGTAGGGACATGTCCATGCTGAACAACATATCGGCAGTCACACCGTCTGTCATTTCTGTTTCTTTTGTTGAATGTAACAGCATCACACGAGTGTTTTGTTCATGATGAACCTCCTGTCTGCAGATCGGCTTCGTGCTGTACTCCCCCCACGGGCAGGTCTGGGATCAGTCGGATCACAACAACGTGATGTTCGTCACCATGTGCTTCTCCTGGCACCTCGCCGTCGCCATGGTTACCGTCAGCGGGATCTACGCCGCCGTCACCTGGTGAGGCAACGCTGCAAAATAAATATATTAAAGGGGACCTATCATGCAAAATGCACTTGTGTACGTCTTTTCTACATGAATATGTGTCCCCGGTGTTCCAGGGAACTCACCAAGTGTCAGAAAACACAACCCTCTCTATTTTCCTCCATACCCAAATCTCTAAAAAAGGGGCTGCAACGGATCTGATAAAAACTGATCCAGATTTGGATGTTTGATGCGCCGGTGAAGATGGCCGCATCGTCTTCGTGCTCCTCTCCAACTTTGCCCATTTTCGTATTTTGTACATATTTCTTTTACTTTTGCCGTTTTACTTTTAACATGGTTCGCAACATGCTAGCCGACCGCACCTACTCTGCCATACAATATAGCAGAGAGGAACTTCTCCAATTGCGAAACTTCGTGGACAATATTAACCCTCCGACAGACAATGGAGATTCACCATGGCTACCTGTTGCTGTTCTACCTGAGAGACGCAAGAAAGAAGACAAAGCGAGGATGCCGGGCCGGGTTGCTGGTCAGACTAAGAAAACGTGAGAATCGGCCCCCCTCTTCCGAGTATTCTTCTGGCTAATGTTCAATCCATTGAAAATAAGCTAGATGAACTCAGAAGCCGGATTGCTTTTCAACGGGACATTAAGAACTGTAACGTGTTAATTCTCACTGAGACTTGGCTCAAACCCCGCTATCCCGGACTCCGCTATTGTCCCTGACGGATTCTCTATTTTCGTCAGGACCGGACTGCAAACTCGGGGAAAAGTAAGGGAGGCGGTGTGTGTGTAATGACTAACAACAACTGGTGCTCAGATGTGAAGATTATTTCATCGGACTGTTCCGCACAGCTAGAGCACCTCATGATCTCATGTCGGGCCTTCCATCTGCCGAGGGAATTCACATCTGTTGTGATAACAGCAGTGTATATCCCGCCGCAGCCACTCGCCGACAACAACACGGCACTCGATCAGCTGTTTGGGTTTATTGATAAAACCGAGACTTCACGGCCAGATGCGGCGTTCGTTGTGGCCGGAGATTTCAACACCGCCAACATGAAGAAGGTTTTGCCAAAATATTTACCAACACATCAACTTCCCGACGCGCGGGGGAAACATACTGGACCATGTTTATTCCCCTTTCCGGAATGGATATAAGGCTCTCCCTCGCCCTCCCTTCGGCAAATCAGACCATATCTCACTACTGTTGTTGCCTGCTTACAAGCAGAAACTTAAAAGGGACAGACCGATAACAAGGACAGTACAACGATGGAGCGAGGAGTCAGATTCAGCACTGCAGGATTGCTTTGCATCCACGGATTGGAGTGTGTTTGAGGACAATAACATCAACACACACACGGACACTGTCATCTGCTACATTGGGAAATGCATCGATGACGTGGTACCGAAGGTTTCTGTACGGACATTCCCAAATCAAAAGCCCTGGGTAAACGGGTGGGGGGGCGCGGCAAACTGAAAGCGCGCACTCTCGCGCACACAGCGGGAGATTTGGAGGAGTACAGGAAGTCTAGGTATGATCTCCGGAGAGCAATAAAAAATGCAAAGAGACAGTACAAAGAGAAGGTGGAATCTGACTTCAAAGGCTGTAACACTAGGAATATGTGGGCGGGACTAAGGACAATGACTGACTACAAAGGAGCAGCGGGGGGTGCTGCGGGAGTGTCTTGCGTGCGCATCTCTCCCAGATGAGCTAAACAGTTTTTTTGCACGCTTTGAGAGCAGCCAGGCTGTGGAGGTACAGAGGGACCAGGAGCTACACTGCCCTTTTGTTTTAAATAGGGCAGATGTGTGTAAATCCTTTAAAAGGGTTAACCCACACAAGGCTCCTGGACCTGATGGCATCCCTGGCCGTGTTCTCAGGGTGTGTGCAGTTCAGCTGGCAGAGGTGTTCACAGACATCTTCAACAGGTCCCTGCTGCAGTCTGTAGTCCCCACATGTCTTAAACACTCCACCATCATTCCTGTCCCCAAAAGACAATCATCACCTGCCCCAACGACTACCGCCAGTAGCACTCACCTCCATCATAATGAAGTGCTTTGAGCGGTTAGTCAAATTATTCATCACCTCCTCCCTCCCTGAATCTCTGGACCCCCTGCAGTTTGCCTACAGAGCAAACAGGTCCACAGACGACGCCATAGCCCTCACCCTCCACACTGCCCTCTCACACCTGGACCCGAAGAAACAGGAACACATATGTGAGAATGCTGTTCATTGACTACAGTTCAGCATTCAACACCATTGTGCCCTCCAAGCTGGCCATCAAGCTCAGAGACCTCGGGCTCAACAGCGCCCTCTGCGACTGGATCCTGAACTTCCTGACGGGCAGACCCCAGCAGTGCGGGTGGGAAACATCACATCCTCCACCCTGATTCTTAACACCGGCGCCCCTCAAGGCTGCGTGCTCAGCCCTCTCCTCTACTCCCTGTTCACCCACGACCTGCGTGGCCACACACAGCTCCAACACCATCGTGAAGTTTGCTGATGACACGACCGTCATCGGCCAGATCACAGACGATGACGAGACGGCGTACAGAGAGGAGGTCGAAAACCTGACATCTTGGTGCCAGGATAACAACCTCCATCTCAACATCAGCAAAACAAAGGAGCTGATTGTGGACTACAGGAAGCAGCAGGGAGAGGGACACGCCCCCATCGCCATCAATGGGACTACGGTGGAGAGAGTCAAAAGCTTCAGGTTCCTTGGGGTCCACATCACTGAGGACCTGACATGGTCTCTTCACACCACCACCATCACCAAGAAAGCTCGACAGCGGCTCTTCTTCCTCCGCAGGCTGAGGAGGTTCAAAATGGATTCCAGGATACTCTGCAACTTCTACAGGTGCACGATAGAGAGTATCCTCACTGGCAGCATGACGGCCTGGTACGGCAGCTGCACCGACCTCGATCGTAAGGCTTACAGAGGGTGGTGAAAACTGCACAGCACATCACCAGGACGGAGCTGCCATCCATGGAGGACCTTTACTCCCAGCGGCTCAGGAAGAAATCACTACGGATTATCAAAGACCCCCATCACCCCAGCCACAAACTGTTCTTTCTGTTGCCGTCTGGCAGACGTTACCGCAGCATCCGGGCAAGGACAAGAAGATTCGGAGACAGTTTCTTCCCGCGGGCAGTGAGACTGTTAAACAATTGAACTGTTGAAACAACATCAAACATTCAACTGCTACTCAGTAGTATGTATCTAATACCTAATATATATATATCATTCCAATAACTTGTATATAGACTCATACTGCACTATTCCACATCATAACTTTATTTCATTTTTATAACTATTATTATTTTTGTATTGCTCTTGCTCTTATTGTTATTATGTTATGTTATTATGTTGCATTGTTGGAGAAGCCTGTGACATAAGATTTTCAACTGCATAATTACTCTGTAGCTATGTCAGATTGACAATAAAGAACCTTGAACCTTGAACCTTGAACACTGTCCTGACGTCAGGACGGTGGCGCTACGGCTATTGGGCCAACTCCACCAATCAGGAGGAGACAGCCACGGCCATTGCCGTTCCAAAGCGCTGGAGACGCTGTAGTACATATGCCAGGCCTGTAGGTGGTGCTGTTCTCACTGAATCTGCCCTTGCAGAGCAAAATGAGGCATGGCTAAAATGCATGATCTGTTTGGTATTTTGAAAAATATATATATATGCCTTATATAGGTATGGTCCTACACTATATTATTATAATATAGCATGATAGGTCCACTTTAATGATTGAATATCTACTTTATTATGATATAAAACCTGAAAGTCTCCAGACTTGAGAGGCTGGAGACTGATTTGATCAATTCATCAATTATCATAAAGAAATGTTATTATTTACTGTCAGTTGACAGATTTCGTTATTTTTTATGTTTTCAATGTTTCCTCTACAGTTTAGTGCGCTACAGATGAGCGCAATTTATTATTATTTATATATATTTTTTATATATAAGAAAATCAGTAATTCCAATATTTTAAAACTGCTTTTTCTGAAATCTTTACAAACATCATTATTTTTATGTGAATTCTCAATTATTTTTTTTGCAGACTTAGTTGTTATTTTGACAGATATTTCTGTGTTATCTCTGCAGTGTGGTTCTCTACAGATGAGAAACATTTATTAAATATATATATATTTAAAATAAATTAAATACAATGTGACAAAAAAAATAAAAATCAGCAAATTCTAATATTTTAAAACGTATTGTTTTCTTACAAATCTTCATTATTTTCTGTCAATTGTCTATTTTTTGCAGACTAAGTTATTTTTGACTGTTTTCCATGTTTTTCCTGCAGTGTGGTTCTCTCAGGATGAGAACAATGTACATGAATAACTTATATAATTTTTTTAAAAAAATATATTCAATATAATGTGATAAAAAACATTGAAAATCACAAAATGTCAAATTATAAAACTGCTTTTTATGACATTTTTGCACAGAAATCATCACAATTTTCTGTATTTTTGACAGTTTGTTCTCTGTTTCCTCTGCAGTGTGGTTCGCTCGCGGCTCAGACGGACTCCTCCGATGGAGATGGGTCTCCTGAAGCCTCGAGACCGAGAGCCGGAGTCTGAGGACGAGATCTTATAGACCAGATCCTATAAAGACGAGATCTTATAGACGAGATCTTATAGACGAGATCTTATAGACGAGATCTTGAAAAGACGAGATCTTGAAAAGACCAGATCCTATAAAGACCAGATCCTATAAAGACGAGATCTTGAAAAGACGAGATCTTATAGACGAGATCCTATAAAGACGAGATCTTAAAGACGAGATCTTGAAAAGACTGTCAGAGTTTATGGATCGTATCTCATAAAGAGGACTGTCGTTATGTATAAATCAGAATTCAATCAGGGATGTTTCCAGCAGCGCTACGATGGAAACACAGCGGAGGAAATATATCTCCTCCTCTGACGCCTCAGTGTTCATCGCTATTTATTTCTCCGTGGCTTCACACACTCTGTTCCTTATCAGTGATGATTTGCACACACATTTGAACATGAACTCATGTAAGGGAAGCTTTTCATGGATCTTCATCCTGTCCTCTATCGCCATCTTGTGTCTTTGTGTCGAACCCGAATGCCAAAAAATAAGGTTTGTATTCAATTGTTTTAAATCTTGCTCTTTGATGTTATTAAAGACTATATTCCTACTGTTTCCATGCATGTGTTTTTTAGGTTTAAGGGTATATAAAACATGCTTTAATGTGCACAAATCATTTCTGACATTTAGCAAATTGTTGAAATTCTATAGATACAAACAAATAAGCAATCAATAGAAAATAATAATACAAGATAAACCAAACAAGAAGCAGAAAACATGACTATTTAACTAAATATCTGATATTTAAAAAAAACGAAACAATATGTTTAAGCCATGGCAACAAAGATAGTCTGTGTGAAAGAAGATGTATCACTCTGTTCTTAAAAATGTGGCCATATTTCTCCTAAAACAAATATAAAAATGTAAAAAAAAATATATATATATAATAATACATTAATAATAAATCAATAATAAAAAGAAATAATATATAATAATAATAATACATGAATAATAAAAAATTAATACATAATAAATATTAAATAATAAATAAACATTACATAATACATAAATAATCATTAATACATAAATAAAATGAATTTAAATGATAAATAATTTTGTGAAAAACAAAAAACATGGTCATAAAATGTAAATAATTATACATGAGTGATCAGTATGTTAAAATGCAGGTATAGTATAAATATCTATAAAATAATAATAGTTAGAATTAGAAAAAACAAAATAAACATTTAAATAAATAGATAATAATAATAATCATTTAGATATTTATAGCGTCTTTCAAGAAACGTTACAATGGAGATAGAATACATAAGTAATAATAATCACACAGACACACAGGTTGAAAAACAGGTAACAGATCTTGATTTGCTGTCAGCCCCCATTCCGGTGGATGTAAAACAGGTCAGAGTGAGACCTCCTCCTCTCAGCTGTGATTCACCTGTAGCCTCCACCTTCAGGTGAGGAGATACCTGCCATCCACAGATTTGAGGAGACTTTCCCTCGCTTCAGGAAACAGACTTAGTTCAGAGGTTTAGACTTTAGATTTTAGAGGGTCTCGTGATGGATAAACTGAAGTCTGTGCTGAGTGGAGAGGAGGCGCGACGAGATGACAGGACGGTGCTGGAGGTACACACACACACACACACACACACACACACACACACACACACACACACACACACACACACACACACACACACACACACACACACACACACACACACACACACACACACACCACACACACACACAACACACACACACTCTCTCAAACACTCTCCTGTAGAGTTGAATATGATGTTTTAAGTGTAATCTCTAAATTCCCACAGACCGTGAATGAGGCCTCCACGCTGGGATGGGGGACTCGTGTTAAAGGGTTCATCGCGTGCTTTGTGGTCGGGGGGGTGTGCACGCTGCTGGTGAGATTATAACTATATTTAAATATGAATAATGTGTGTGTTAGTGTGAGTGTGTGTGTTAGTGTGTGTGTGTTAGTGTGTGTGTTAGTGTGTGTGTGTTAGTGTGTGTGTTAGTGTGTGTGTGGCTCCAGGAAGAAGGAGCAGCTGGTCTGGTTCTTCCTGCTCTGAGGAATGCTGCAGATCAGCCTCAGAGGGAGAGTCATCACATGCTAATGATGACACATGTTTTAAGAAGTGCTGCTTTGGTAGTTTCATGTCTCTTAGCGCCTTTCAAGGGACCCAAGGCCGCTTTACATGGTCAACAAACAAACAAACAAACAAACAAACAAACAAACAAAAGGGGCAAATTGTTGTGTCTTTTATGGTCATGTTGTGTCTCTTTGTTGTTGTTGTTGTCTCTATCGTTACTTTGTGTCTCACTGGTAATAGTCCGTCTCTCACTTCCTTCGGGTGTTTTGGGGTTATATTGTGTCTCCAATGATTTGTTTTATGTGTCGTTTTGTTTTGGGTGTTTTATGTTAATTCTGCTCACTTTAATCTCGCTGGAGTTATTTTGTGTCATTCTTATTCAGTTTACTTTTGTAGCTTCTGATTGAACCTTGTTGTGGTTATCTTGTGTCTGTCTTTGTTGCCATGTGCCTCTTTGTTGTTTTTGGTTTCTCTTTTGCATTTATCTTTTTTCTCGTTATGTTGTGTCTTTTTGTTTTGATCTCTTTGTAGTCCTTGAGTCTCTTCCTGGTTGCTGCCTCTCTTTCTGTTGAGCAGGTAGAGGTCCTGACGCACTCATCCATCCTGCCTTTCAAGTGTGTGTGTGTGTGTGTGTGTGTGTGTGTGTGTGTGTGTGTGTGTGTGTGTGTGTGTGTGTGTGTGTGTGTGTGTGTGTGTGTGTGTGTGTGTGTGTGTGTGTGTGTGTGTGTGTGTGTGTGGGTGTGGTGTGTGTGTGTGTGTGGTGTGTGTGTGTGGTGTAGTGTGTGTGTGTAGTGTGTGTGTGTGATGTGTGGTGTGTGTGTGTGTGTGTGTGTGATGTGTGTGTGTTGTGTGTGTTGTGTGGTGTGTGTGGTGTTGTGTGATGTGTGTGTGTGTGTGTGTGTGTGTGTGTGTGTGTGTGTGTGTGTGTGCCGCTGTGTGTGTGTGTGACACTGTGTTGCTGTGTGTGTGAACCACTGTGTTGTGTTGCTGTGTGTGTGTGTGCCGCTGTGTGTGTGTGACACTGTGTTGCTGTGTGTGTGAACCGCTGTGTGTGTGTGTGTTTAACCGCTGTGTGTGTGTGTGTGTTTTAACCACTGTGTTGCTGTGTGTGTGTGTGTGTTTTAACCGCTGTGTGTGTGTTTTAACCGCTGTGTTGCTGTGTGTGTGTGTGTTTTAACCGCTGTGTGTGTGTGTGTTTAACCGCTGTGTGTGTGTTTTAACCACTGTGTTGCTGTGTGTGTGTGTGTTTTAACCACTGTGTTGCTGTGTGTGTGTGTGTGTGTTAACCACTGTGTTGCTGTGTGTGTTGCAGGGAGTGTGTGTGCTCTTCATCCCAAAGATCGGCATCACCCTCTTCATCGTTTTTTACACTTTAGGAAACATCTGTACTCTGGGCAGGTCAGTGTCTGCACATCTGCACGCTCCACACACACATTTAAATCAAGTAAAAGTATTAATACCACAGTGTACAAATACTGCATTACAATCAAAGTCCTGCTTTACTAAATACAGGAGTATTAGCATCAATATTAAAGTACAGTATTCAAAGTAAAAACACTCTAATGATCCATATATTGATCCATTTATGTAAGCAGCATGTTAGTATTGTCTCGTTTTGCCTGTCAAATCTTGACCTAAATCCATATCTATGTGGTAAAAAGTACAATATTTACAATATATGTCGTGGAGTTGAGTATCAGAAAATGGAAATAGTCAAGTATAAGTACCTCAAAATCATACTTCAGTTACCTCAATTATAAAGGTATAATATGCACGTTGAATGAGGATTATCAGAGTATTATTTCTGTATTTCTAATGTTCAGATATTCTTGTGTTTCAGCACCATGTTTCTGATGGGTCCGATGAGGCAGCTGAAGAAGATGTGTGATAAGACCCGGGCGCTGGCCACCACCCTCATGATCGTACGTATGGCTGACCCTCCAGGATCAAACGCTAAGTGTGAGTTCATAAAGAACATGTGATGATGATGTGTCTTCATGTTGTCCTCTGTAGACGTGCCTGGTGCTGACTCTCTGCGCCGCCTTCTGGGTGAGTTCTATTGACGATGGCTTAAAATAAAACATTTAGTTAACATATAAATATATATATATTAATTTATTTCTCTGTTGTTTTATTAGATATTAGCAGAAAATAATATTTATATTTTTTTATGTTTGTTTGTTTACACATTTATAAAAAAATAATACAAATAAACAAAAAAAGTATATATTTTTCCCTTATTTCTTTTCTGTTTGATAAAAAAAAAAAAAAAAACATATATTTGTTTATGTATTTCTATTTATTTCATTTATGTACTTTTTATTTAATTTAAATGTATGCATTTATTTATATCTGCATATTTTCTTTCATGTATAGATTTACTTCCTAAAAGACTATTTTTCACTAAAGACCATTTTCTGCAGTGATAATGTGTAATGTTGTTAAATGCATGTTCCGCTGTATATTGTCTTATATATCAAAGTATTCATTATGAAGTCTTATCTCTTATTTTCTCTCAGTGGAAGAACTTCGGCCTCGCTCTGTTATTCGTCATCCTGCAGATCCTGTCGTTCGCCTGGTGAGTCTCCACTTCTCCATTTCTCCATTTTACACTTGAATTACTTTGAATTTCTTTGAATTTCTGACATCAAATGACCTTCTCTCTGCAGGTACAGTCTGTCCTACATCCCGTTTGTCAGGTGAGGTTTTTAAACTGAACATTTACTCATATCAGCTGCTTTAAGGTCCAGAAACAAGATGCATGTGATTGATTGTGTGTGATTGATTGTGTGTGATTGATTGTGTGATTGATTGTGTGATTGATTGTGTGTGATTGATTGTGTGTGATGTGCTCTGCAGGGAGGCGATCCTGAAGCTGGTGTCTGTGTGTATAAAGTGAGGATCGGTCTCTGACTGAAGACCCTCCCCTGATTTGATCTCCAAACATGTGTCTTTTATTAGTTTCTTTCTGTGAGATGATTATTGTTTGGGTACGTATTGATTACTTTACCAATGTTACGACTGTATGCTTGATTTGTAAATGTGTAAATATTTATAATAAATAAAGCTTTTAATTGTTTTGTAAATAAACACAGCCTCGTTACTGCTTTTACCAGAGAGGTCAAAAGTACACATCCTTTCCTCAAGTAGAAGTACAGATACTCGTGTTTAAAAGTACTCTGGTGAAAGTAGAAGTACTGACTAAACTTCTTTACTCAAGTCAAAGTAAAGAGGCTTTGAAATGTACTTCAGTAAAAAGTACCCATAACTAGCAGCTGTTTTAAAGAGTACCTGACCTCCCTTTATATTAATAGAACAATAATGTCATTGTTAGATAATGAATGTTTCCATGCTGAACAACGGCAACATGACAACGTTTTCATTGGTCCCTCTTCTTTAGAGAAGACCAGGAAATGGATGGATACACGGATCGTGTTCAAATCAATAGGCACGCAATGACTCTAAATAATAATGATCACGCCACCAAACACACATTCAAACTAAAGGAACCAGCCTGTTTGGGAAATGTAAGAAGTAGAAAGTACAGGTATTTGGGTTCAACATGTGAGAAGTAGAAAGTACAGGTATTTGTGTTCAACATGTAAGAAGTAGAAAGTACAGGTATTTGTGTTCAACATGTAAGAAGTAGAAAGTACAGGTATTTGTGTTCAACATGTAAGAAGTAGAAAGTACAGGTATTTGTGTTCAACATGTGAGAAGTAGAAAGTACAGGTATTTGGGTTCAACATGTAAGAAGTAGAAAGTACAGGTATTTGAGTTCAACATGTAAGAAGTAGAAAGTACAGGTATTTGTGTTCAACATGTAAGAAGTAGAAAGTTCAGGTATTTGAGTTCAACATGTAAGAAGTAGAAAGTACAGGTATTTGGGTTCAACATGTAAGAAGTAGAAAGTACAGGTATTTGGGTTCAACATGTAAGAAGTAGAAAGTACAGGTATTTGGGTTCAACATGTAAGAAGTAGAAAGTACAGGTATTTGGGTTCAACATGTAAGAAGTAGAAAGTACAGGTATTTGGGTTCAACATGTAAGAAGTAGAAAGTACAGGTATTTGTGTTCAACATGTAAGAAGTAGAAAGTACAGGTATTTGTGTTCAACATGTAAGAAGTAGAAAGTACAGGTATTTGGGTTCAACATGTAAGAAGTAGAAAGTACAAGTATTTGTGTTCAACATGTAAGAAGTAGAAAGTACAGGTATTTGGGTTCAACATGTGAGAAGTAGAAAGTACAGGTATTTGTGTTCAACATGTAAGAAGTAGAAAGTACAGGTATTTGTGTTCAACATGTAAGAAGTAGAAAGTACAGGTATTTGTGTTCAACATGTAAGAAGTAGAAAGTACAGGTATTTGTGTTCAACAAGTAAGAAGTAGAAAGTACAGGTATTTGGGTTCAACATGTAAGAAGTAGAAAGTACAGGTATTTGTGTTCAAAATGTAAGAAGTAGAAAGTACAGGTATTTGTGTTCAACATGTAAGAAGTAGAAAGTACAGGTATTTGTGTTCAACATGTAAGAAGTAGAAAGTACAGGTATTTGTGTTCAACATGTAAGAAGTAGAAAGTACAGGTATTTGTGTTCAACATGTGAGAAGTAGAAAGTACAGGTATTTGTGTTCAACATGTAAGAAGTAGAAAGTACAGGTATTTGGGTTCAACATGTAAGAAGTAGAAAGTACAGGTATTTGTGTTCAACATGTAAGAAGTAGAAAGTACAGGTATTTGTGTTCAACATGTAAGAAGTAGAAAGTACAGGTATTTGTGTTCAACATGTAAGAAGTAGAAAGTACAGGTATTTGTGTTCAACATGTGAGAAGTAGAAAGTACAGGTATTTGGGTTCAACATGTAAGAAGTAGAAAGTACAGGTATTTGAGTTCAACATGTAAGAAGTAGAAAGTACAGGTATTTGTGTTCAACATGTAAGAAGTAGAAAGTTCAGGTATTTGAGTTCAACATGTAAGAAGTAGAAAGTACAGGTATTTGGGTTCAACATGTAAGAAGTAGAAAGTACAGGTATTTGGGTTCAACATGTAAGAAGTAGAAAGTACAGGTATTTGGGTTCAACATGTAAGAAGTAGAAAGTACAGGTATTTGGGTTCAACATGTAAGAAGTAGAAAGTACAGGTATTTGGGTTCAACATGTAAGAAGTAGAAAGTACAGGTATTTGTGTTCAACATGTAAGAAGTAGAAAGTACAGGTATTTGTGTTCAACATGTAAGAAGTAGAAAGTACAGGTATTTGGGTTCAACATGTAAGAAGTAGAAAGTACAAGTATTTGTGTTCAACATGTAAGAAGTAGAAAGTACAGGTATTGGGTTCAACATGTGAGAAGTAGAAAGTACAGGTATTGTGTTCAACATGTAAGAAGTAGAAAGTACAGGTATTTGTGTTCAACATGTAAGAAGTAGAAAGTACAGGTATTTGTGTTCAACATGTGAGAAGTAGAAAGTACAGGTATTTGTGTTCAAAATGTAAGAAGTAGAAAGTACAGGTATTTGTGTTCAACATGTAAGAAGTAGAAAGTACAGGTATTTGTGTTCAACATGTGAGAAGTAGAAAGTACAGGTATTTGTGTTCAACATGTAAGAAGTAGAAAGTACAGGTATTTGGGTTCAACATGTGAGAAGTAGAAAGTACAGGTATTTGTGTTCAAAGTGTAAGAAGTAGAAAGTACAGGTATTTGTGTTCAACATGTAAGAAGTAGAAAGTACAGGTATTTGTGTTCAACATGTGAGAAGTAGAAAGTACAGGTATTTGTGTTCAAAGTGTAAGAAGTAGAAAGTACAGGTATTTGTGTTCAAAATTTAAGAAGTAGAAAGTACAGGTATTTGTGTTCAACATGTAAGAAGTAGAAAGTACAGGTATTTGTGTTCAACATGTAAGAAGTAGAAAGTACAGGTATTTGTGTTCAAAGTGTAAGAAGTAGAAAGTACAGGTATTTGTGTTCAACATGTAAGAAGTAGAAAGTACAGGTATTTGTGTTCAAAGTGTAAGAAGTAGAAAGTACAGGTATTTGTGTTCAACATGTAAGAAGTAGAAAGTACAGGTATTTGTGTTCAACATGTGAGAAGTAGAAAGTACAGGTATTTGTGTTCAACATGTGAGAAGTAGAAAGTACAGGTATTTGTGTTCAAAGTGTAAGAAGTAGAAAGTACAGGTATTTGTGTTCAACATGTAAGAAGTAGAAAGTACAGGTATTTGTGTTCAACATGTAAGAAGTAGAAAGTACAGGTATTTGTGTTCAACATGTAAGAAGTAGAAAGTACAGGTATTTGTGTTCAAAATGTAAGAAGTAGAAAGTACAGGTATTTGTGTTCAACATGTGAGAAGTAGAAAGTACAGGTATTTGTGTTCAAAGTGTAAGAAGTAGAAAGTACAGGTATTTGTGTTCAACATGTAAGAAGTAGAAAGTACAGGTATTTGTGTTCAACATGTAAGAAGTAGAAAGTACAGGTATTTGTGTTCAAAATGTAAGAAGTAGAAAGTACAGGTATTTGTGTTCAAAATGTAAGAAGTAGAAAGTACAGGTATTTGTGTTCAACATGTGAGAAGTAGAAAGTACAGGTATTTGTGTTCAAAGTGTAAGAAGTAGAAAGTACAGGTATTTGTGTTCAACATGTAAGAAGTAGAAAGTACAGGTATTTGTGTTCAACATGTAAGAAGTAGAAAGTACAGGTATTTGTGTTAAAAATGTAAGAAGTAAAAGTAAAAAGTGGTCAGAAAAATAAGTAGTGGAGTAAAGTACTGATACCAGAAAAATGTACCTAAGTACAGTAACAAAGTATTTGTACTCCACTACTTCCCACCTCTGGCTATTAGTGGCAGGAGAGACTTTAACCAATTAACATGTTTTCTCTGTTTTGTGTCAAAAAGATTTTTCATGGATACATATCATTTTGTGTGTGTGTGTGTGTGTGTGTGTGTGTGTGTGTGTGTGTGTGTGTGTGTGTGTGTGTGTGTGTGTGTGTGTGTGTGTGTGTGTGTGTGTGTGTGTGTGTGTGTGTGTGTGTGTGTGTGTGTGTGTGTGTGTGTGTGTGTGTGTGTGTGTGTGTGTGTGTGTGTGTGTGTGTGTGTGATGTGTTTTTATGTTTCAAAAAATACCTTTTATTTAGAAAATAAAAAGAACAATAAAAAATAAAATAGACTTAATTTTAAAATGATATACTTCATGGATAACCAACTATTTGTCATGATGATTAATAATGAGATGTGGAAAAACTATTTATGAGATTTGGTTAAAAAATTAAAAAACAGACGAATGCGCGCCTTTCCCCTGCGTCACGTGACTCTACCCGGAAGTCTCTGCTCTGCACTCGTCTCTCATGAAGGGAAGTTAAGTTTTGTTGTTGTTGTGTTTGTTAGCTGCTAACTTTAGCTCTGTAAACATGTCTGACCTGCTAACAAAGATAAAACACAGCGGGAAGGAGAAGAAGAAGACTTCTGTTTCTCAGACTGACTTACAGAAGCTCGGGTTAACAGGTACGAAGTTTAACTGTGTTAAAATGTACCATGTGCACCAAGGCAAATCATTCCTATGTGTAAAACTGTTTCTGTTTCTGACTCTGATTCCAAGAGATGCTTCTTATACATTACATTACATCACATGTCACTTGTTAGACGCTTTTATCCAAAGAGACTTACATACTCAATACTGGGCAATCCCCACAGGAGCACTTTGGGGTGAAGTGTCTCAGGGACACAACGACATGCAGCCTACATCTCCAATGTTTACATATCCAAACCAACATATCATTAAATATGTCAGAAAGATAGTCAGTCTGCTTAACAGATATTACTCTTTGTATGTCATATCAGAGTGGAAAGTAACTAAGTACATTTACTAAAGTACTTTACTTAAAGTGGACCTATCATGCTATATTTAAATGATATATTGTAGGGCCATACCTATATAAGGTATATTTATACGTTTCTGTTGCTGGGCTGTCAGAAGAGGGGGAGAAAAAGAGATCTCCGTCCTCCGTGTTTTATTATATAGAGTCGTTATTCATTTGTTTTAAAGCTCAATAAATAACAAAGAAGACCTTTGACCGGCACTTTTCTAATTTTGTCCGGAAGATTTAAACTTTAACGGACATCTTGACCGGCGAAAGAAACTGAAACTGAAACTCTGCCGCACGGTCCCCTCGTTCCTTGGAAGAGGCGGAGAGGTGGGTGTTTGTCATCTGCTGGTGGACTAACCGGAGAGAATTACAGTGCTTGCCTCGACGGGGAGGGATTGCATTGAATTAAAGCAGCGGGAGCAAACGCTTGCCTCGGGGAGGGAGAAAGAAAGCCACAGCGGAGAATAAACAGAAGGGTAACCATGGTAACTATGGGCGGGAAGTCTTCTTCGCTGCTTTTGTGGCAGACTACAGCGCCACTTACAGGCCTGGCATATGTACTACAGCGTCTCCAGCGCTTTCGAACAGCAATGGCCGTGGCTGTCTCCTCCTGATTGGTGGAGTTGGCCCAATAGCCGTAGCGCCACCGTCCTGACGTCAGGACAGTGTTCAAATCTGGATCAGTTTTTATCAGATCCGTTGCAGCCCCTTTTTTAGAGATTTGGGTATGGAGGAAAATAGAGAGGGTTGTGTTTTCTGACACTTGGTGAGTTCCCTGGAACACCGGGGACACATATTCATGTAGAAAAGACGTACCAGTGCATTTTGCATGATAGGTCCCCTTTAAGTACAGTTTTGAAGTACTTCTACTCCCTACAGTTCAGAGGTGTTTTTCAATATTTATTTAATAATAATAACAACACAGCTTTATTTGTATTTGTTTCCTGACATCTTCTCTCCTCACACTGTTTCCTGACATCTTCTCTCCTCACACACTGTTCCCTGACATCTTCTCTCCTCACACACTGTTCCCTGACATCTTCTCTCCTCACACTGTTCCCTGACATCTTCTCTCCTCACACTGTTCCCTGACATCTTCTCTCCTCACACACTGTTCCCTGACATCTTCTCTCCTCACACTGTTCCCTGACATCTTCTCTCCTCACACACTGTTCCCTGACATCTTCTCTCCTCACACTGTTCCCTGACATCTTCTCTCCTCACACTGTTCCCTCACATCTTCTCTCCTCACACTGTTCCCTCACATCTTCTCTCCTCACACACTGTTCCCTGACATGTTTCTCACATGTGTCCTCTCCTCTCAGGGATCACGCTGCGGCCCTACCAGCTGGACGGGGTTCAGTGGCTGTCTGAGTGTCAGAGGAACCAGCAGGGATGCATCTTAGGAGACGAGATGGGTTTGGGGAAAACCTGCCAGGTACTGATCCATCGGCTCATCTTATAACCAATCATGAGGGGCGACACATTTCAATAAGTCGTGATGTCTATGTTCTGATACGGACACTGATCGTCTAGATTTCACCAGCTTTTTTTAGTTGTGTAACTGAGCAGATGCAGAAGAGAACAGTAAACTATATGAAGGTTTATCAGTAAAGTTCAAGAAACAGAGTTACTAAGTGCGGTTTAATACAGGTAAAAAATGTCAGGATTGGAATTATATAAAATCTTACATAATAGATAAATAAATGAAATTATGATTTTTAATAAAGATTAAAAAACGATCAGATAAGTGATTTAAAATACATATATTTAAATCATGTTAAATATGATTAAAGTATAATACTATGTTCTCCCTGCAGACCATCTCTCTGCTGGTGTTCATGTCCGGGTCTCTCGGGCAGAGCGGTCCCTTTCTGGTTCTGAGTCCGCTGTCCGTCATGGAGAACTGGAGGAACGAGCTGCAGAGGTACATCCACTTTATAAGATATAAATATCAGAATCATTTTGAGTAGGTTTACACATACGAGGAATTCCCTTTGGTAGAAGTGGTGCATACAGAGCACATGTGTCAAACTCAAGGCCCGGGGGCCAAATCAGGCCCTTGGTGGATTTAATTTCGGCCCGCAGGATAATTTCTAATTACTTTTAGATCTGGCCCTCCGGTATATTGCACGCACACCTTCACTCCATCCTGAGGGTCTCCTCAGCTCAGAGCCTGACCCCAAACATTGATGACCTTGCACCCAAGATGAGATGCCAAGTATCTGAGCTAGCATCACAGAGCAGCACACTGAGTTTACATGTTTCCTTCTGCACTTTCTCTCTCACGACAACAGGGCATGTTTGGTTTGTTCTTTGAGGGAAATAGTTTTGTTGAAGCTGTTGTCGGCCTGTGGAGAAATGTACTCATAAGAAATGACTCTGGAAAAGCTGCAGATAGAGCCATAAGAAATGAATGCAACTGATTATTTAATGTTTCATGTTGTTTTTATAGGCAATCATTTAAGCTTTGTTAGTTCCAGGTTTAATATGTGCAATAAGTTCATTTCAATAAGTTCTGCAAGAAACATTGAACCACCCTCTAGTTGCGATTTTCTTATTTTGGCCCACTGTGTATTTGAGTTTGACACCGCTGATGAGACACAGAAGGAATTACAACTATTAAAAAAGCTATTAAAAAAACAAAATATAATCATGCAGGAAACTGAGTGCAGTAAAATATAATAACATATGCCAATATATTGATTTAAAAGAGTTAGCATGTGGCAGAAATGTGCAACATGTGCAGGATTTACAATAACAAGATGTTTTTTGCATTAATATAATAAATAAAGTTTAAATATAAGATAAGATTTACTCAATTGATCCTAAATAAGAAAAATGTTCTGTCACAGCAGCGTGTTAAATCAAGGCATGCAGAGGTGACACATTCATTATTGAGGCACCAATTGCACATTTCTCTGGCGGTACTAGGGGTGGGGGAAATAATCAATAAAGCAGAGTATGGCGATATTGTATCAATACACGGACGCCAAGTATAGATATTTTATTATATAAACTATTCATATTGCAAATCCAAATTAAAGTTTTTGGTAACAATTGCTTTTTCAATCCACTAGATGGTGCTGAGCTTTTTCTTGTGGGGTCATGGCCATGGGTAAAGAGAGTGGGATTGCAGTCGAATAGAGAGGCGAAGTCCCTCCCCTTCCGGTGGGACCCATGGGACCTTATTTCGGAAAAAGTTTGTATTGAAGTCAATGGAGAGAGAAAGATTATCTTTCGATCCCGTTTGAATTGTGCCACAAATTACACATATGATGTTTGTCAATTTAAAAGATAATTTCCATGTCAAAAAAGTCACAGTTTGTCGTAAAACTGTTGAAATATAAGACTATGAAAAATACGCAACTAGAAAGACTACAAATCCCAGAGTCCCGGTCCCGCATGCTGGCTCTTAGGAACCGACTAACTCCTCTTGTGTGTATGCACAGCTCTCAACATGCCCAGACTTGGAGTGATTTTCACCTCTTTTAATACTTTCCGCCTCATTCTGAAAGAAAGAAGTGAAATGTGCCAACGTGACGGCCGTCTGGGTGTGTGGTGCAAGACGGGAGAGGTAGGTCATTGAGAGGTTTCACACAAAGAAATGTGTTACTTCACAGTTTTACGACACATTTTTATTTTTTTTAACTTGTAAAATTATCTTTTAAATTGACAAACATCATATGTGTAATTTGTGGCACAATTCAAACGGGATCGAAAGATAATCTTTCTCTCTCCATTGACTTCAATACATAACTTTTCCGAAATAAGGTCCCATGGAGGTCCACCGGAAGGGGAGGGACTTCGCCTCTCTATAGTCCATTTAGCTTAGGAACCTTCCTAACGGAGTGAAATGACCCGGAAGTCCCTCAGTGGCAGCCATGATAAGTGCCGTTCGAATTCTCTAGATGAAAGGAAAGGAGGTTTCAAACTCAAACAGACGATAGGGATAGACGATAGGAATAGACGATAGGGATAGACGATAGGGATAGACGATAGGGATAGGGATAGACGATAGGGATAGACGATAGGGATAGGGATAGGGATAGGGATAGGGATAGACGATAGGGATAGGGATAGACGATAGGGATAGACGATAGGGATAGTCGATAGGGATAGGGATAGACGATAGGGATAGACGATAGGGATAGGGTTAGGGATAGACGATAGGGATAGGGATAGACGATAGGGATAGGGATAGGGATAGACGATAGGGATAGGGATAGACGATAGGGATAGACGATAGGGATAGTCGATAGGGATAGGGATAGACGATAGGGATAGACGATAGGGATAGACGATAGGGATAGTCGATAGGGATAGGGATAGACGATAGGGATAGACGATAGGGATAGACGATAGGGATAGACGATAGGGATAGACGATAGGGATAGACGATAGGAGCTGATTTTTGGACTATTGGACCGCAACCCAAGATTGGCAGGAAGTTAGTCAGAACAAAGATGGAGTCAGCGGAGAAAGAAATCAGAAATGCGCCGGTCGCGTTTAAATCAAAGGTGTGGAATTATTTTAGATTTTAGATTTTTGAACCAGGAAGGGAAGACGGACATGGATATGATGCAGGTGATTTGTAAGGAGTGTTGTATGAAAATGTATATCGTATCGCAATACTTAGCATATCGTAGAATCGCAATACTATCGTATCGTGGCTTAAGTATCGCGATAGTCTCGTATCGTGGGGGCCTGGTGATTCCCAGCACTAGGCGGTACCGATGTACAGTTTTTATTTCTTCCCCCTTTTGTGCAAGGGGAAACAAATACATTTCTATTATAATGAGATGAACTGTTTTTCAGCGCTTCATCACACTACCTGTGAATGAGCCAAATTCCTAAAAACAACTTCTACAAAAGCCTCTTGACCCGCCTTGCATGCAACATGATGAATCCAGATCCAAATCATTGAGTATATGATTTATTCAGAATCTAAACTCAATGTTTTGTGTGTTTCTTTGCAGCTTCGCTCCCTCTCTGACTGTGTTGTGTTACAAAGGAGACAAAGAGAGACGGGCTACGCTCCAGAGAGAAACCAAACACTTCCAGGTTCTGCTCACCACGTACGAGGTCTGGGGATCATTACATCTATTTATCAGTTATAGAAAAACAACACAATAAGTTTTCAAACTGACTTGCTAATGCTTCCCTTCACAGCTGTGTATGAATGATGCCTCCTTCCTAAAGCGGTGAGTGCTTTCTGAATAACAATCACTCAATATTCTGAGAAGATTTAGATTTCCTCTCAGATTAAAGCTGGAAACATAACGTCCAAATCTAGGAGTAACAACCTTAATGATGATCTGAGGTTATACATTTAAATATTAAGTCCTAAAACCAGGGTTCGAGTTATAAACCTAGCTCTATGGGGGTCTTTGAAACTAACGCGTACACACACACACACACACACACACACACACACACACACACACACACACACACACACACACACACACACACACACACACACACACACACACACACACACACACACACACCAATAATAAACATATGGACAGGGGTTACTATTTAAAAAAAAAATTGCAAATGTATTTGGGAACCTATCCATGTGAACATATTTTGGGGGTGGACCTCAAATCCTCTAGGGGGGTCCGGGGGCATGCCCCCCCTGGTAAGATATTTTTTTAATTTTGGAGTTAAATGCATCAATCTGGTGCATTTTTAAGGGAAAGTAAAGAGACTAGATCTATGGAAACACCCATATGAAACAGAGGCCACATCATGTAGACAGACAGTCACCCTGTGTGAGGCAAACCCACATTTGCGCAGCGTTGCGTTCACAATAGCCTACATTAAAAAAAAAAGAATCGCTAGGCCATCGGGAAACCTCCCGGCCCTCCCGATGGCCAGTCCGGGCCTGCCAGCAGCCCTCTACTTGCTACAAACTTAAATATGAAAACATAGCCGTGGGAACATGTTTCAAATGGGGGGTGCTGTGGGGATGACACCAGGGCCGGTTCTGACACCAGGGCCGGTTCTGACACCAGGGCCGGTTCTGACACCAGGGCCGGTTCTGACACCAGGGCCGGTTCTGACCCATTTGCTGCCCGAGGCAAGATTTTTGCTGGTTCATTTATATCTTATTTTACCAGTTAACATTTATTTATTCATCCATATTTCTTAATCTCTCCAGTTTTAAAGGATATTGTTGGTTTACTGTCCTTTAGTATACATGTGCCAAGAGCAAGGACTGTCTTAGGTAAGACAGCTTTTATGTGCGCAGCTCCACTTGCTTGGAACAATCTTCTGCAAGAATTGAAACTGAGCAATCTCATTCCTCTGCATGTTTTTAAAGCGAGGCTAAATGAAATGCTCGTTGATACTATGGGTACTTGTAAATGTCTATAACTATGTAAATGTATCCTGTAAATATAATGTATGATGTCCTTTATTGTTTTATGTTTCATGTGGAACCTCCAAAGTAACTTCCTGAAATGTAATTGTCTGCGGTGATTCTACGGAGTCCCCAAAGGCCCAAAATTGTGCACACAAAACATATTTCCGGCTGCCCGGGCCTAAGGAAGTAGCTCTACTTATGAAATCTCTGTTAGTTTAAACTCACTACTTTACATTCAAAACAAATAGCTTATCAAATGTGGCACGGCATTATTGATAAAGCTACATATTAGTTACATCATACTTATCTTAACCAGCAACACCAATAAAATACTGCTTCACATAAATGCATCGCAAATAATCATCAGTTTGTATTCAATGCATATCGAGGCAACTGAACCACACATCAACATTTCATCCATGCATTTCTTCACTTGTTGTTCAAGCTCTCAAACAAACAAGCGGGCAGTACAAATTTGACTACACATGTCAGTGTTGTTAGATCTTATTGTCTTATATTTGTGTACAGCACTTTGAATTGCTTTGTGTTGAAAGCTGCTCTATAAATAAACTTGCCTCGCCTTGCCTAGTGATGACTCACAATCTACTAGGATTAATAAATGTCCAAAGTGTCTATTACGTTAGTAGGAAATCTGACCTAGAGCAATTGAGCATTGGAATAGAACATGTTGTTTCATACGGCCCAATGAGAACAAACACATCTAAACAGGAAAGTGTAAAAACATGTTGAATCTTTAAACATCTGATCGAACAAGAACAAGACACACCTAGTTTTCTAAACAATGAGGTAGATACTAGCTGTCATTATTTTTAAGGAGGGGCAGCTTGGGCGTATTGTTGTACATAGCCGTGGGAACATGTTTCAAATGGGGGGTGCTGTGGGGATGACACCAGAGCCGGTTCTGACCCATTTGCTGCCCTAGGCAAGATTTTTGCTGATTCAATTATATCTTATTTTACCAGTTAACATTTATTTATTCATCCATATTTTTTAATCTCTCCAGTTTTAAAGGATATTGTTGGTTTACTGTCCTTTAGTATACATTGGAATGATTTCAAACCTGTTTTTATTTATCCTAATAATTATAAAGGTGTGCCTTGTGATCAAACCGTTTGAGACCCACTGAGATAACTTAGACTAAAGTGAACTATCTAAACCCTCAGAGTCCTTTACCTCACTGAGCCTCTCAGGGCACATGGAAAATGTAACCGGGGTGAAAAGGGTGTTATCTTTACTTAATTATGAATGTGAACATCAAGGCCGAAAATTAGTTTTTTTTGTATTATATTTGTATTATATTTCCATTTAATCTTGTGGACGTGCAGATTCCCTGTCCTCCATCAGGGGGTGCTGCAGCACCTCAGCACCCCTACTTACCACGGCCCTGTATGAAAAGGTTCAACTGCGCACACACACATCATCTCGGCTCGCGCAGCACGCTCACGGCATAGATTGTGCAATAATGTATTGCGCACCTTGGAGGTGCAGTGCAGCATATTGTTATTCAAGAGATGCGTTGTTCTTTTGGAAAACATGTTTTTCTTTTCAATAATACTCATTACATTGACACATGCATTATTTGTGATTAAAATAATGGTTGTTAGCAGTGGCGGCCGGTGGTCTTTTTTTTTGGTGGGGCTCTTGACGTACCGTAAGTGACCTACCCGGGGGGTCCGGGGGGTTTCCCCCCGTAAATTTTTTTCGAGAAATGACCCCTTAAATGATGACTTCTGGTGATGTTAGAGGGGGGGGGAAAGGAGAAATCGAGGCTTAAAAATATGAGAAGACTGATCAATACCTCCATAATCTTCAGTGTGGAAAATATTATTTATCAACCTGAACATCTACTACTTTACCAGGAATTTGTGTTCTCAGAACTAGTCTGTTTTTTTCTTTCTTAAAACTGTTCATGTTTTATGAACCAACACCTTCACCAAGTAGCTTTACAGTGAACTGCATGTGAGATATAAAATTAATAGCATCTTTACAGTAGCATTAATTATAAATATTTAAGTGGTTCAATACAAGTCACTACAGCATTTCAAACTGAACTGTGAATAAATGCAATTTAAAAAAAATAACCACAGCACAAAATGTCATAAATTGTGTTTTTTCTTTGTTTCTCTGAGGATTATTTACAAACAGGCTTATTTACATATAGCAATAACTCAGAAATGAAAAAGCTACATCGTCTAACACGAACAACCACTTAGCATAATGATAATATATGTGTTATGTACAATGTAACTGGCAAGGCTAGAGCAAGAAAGAACATAAAGTTTGCAAAAGGTTTAAATAACTTCAAGTATCTGTCTTCAGATTACGTGGAGGTTTTAGTCCGATGGGAAGCAGATTTTAAGCGACACCGAAGATAAACCAAAAATGTGGTGGAGCTGCAAACCGTGTAGTGTTGCTGGGACAGAACAGGAGCTATAACCGTTGGAAAATACATCACAGACAATGCAACAAACGTGGAGACAGAACAATCACTTCTGTGATAAATGCCCACTTATTAATAAACTTCTAACAACCATGGGAAACCTCCTCTCTACATATAAAGTGATATCCAAGCATGGGAAACAAAAGACAGCATTTACCTGTTTGCATCCAGCTAGCCAAGCCTTTTTTGTGTAACAGCTACTTGCGAAGCCTCGTGTATACGTTTTGTCTTTTTCACGAGATTGCTGCGATATATTCAAATCGGGTTGGTCCGGTCCAAGGTCTTTAAGCAACAATTTATCTGCCAAACTTCTCCTTTCGAAAGGATTGGAGATTAGCTCTTGAACAGAATTAGGCGGGGACCGAGGTCCGGAGACTCCACCTGCACACGAAGCCATCCTCATCAACTACTGCGTCAACCGGATACGAGTCACTGTCCAAACTACTCACAGACTGCACTGGGCGCTGACATTGGCGCCCGGTGACCGTCATCTTTGACGACGCTGATTGGCTGAAATTATATTTTCGCGGCATAGTTTACACGTTACAGATAGCAACAGTCAGCTGCTAGTGGCTGCTGCTGCACTGGTTGAAGGCTCCTCTCTTAGCGCCCAGACGAGAGAAGGTGCATGGGCAAGGCCAGGCAGGAAACATGTGACTTATCAGTAACTTTAGACATCGTAACACAATTTTAAACGAGATTTTATTGTAGATTATACATTTTACTGATACCAATTATATAATATTTACCTTGTTCATTAAAAATAAAAATAAAAATATATATTTTTTTTTAAACATATATATTTTTTTTAATTTTAATTTTATTTATTTATTTTTTATTTTTTTTCAATATGGGAAGAGGTGGGGCGGCGCCCCTAGTGCCCCTATGGACCGGCCGCCACTGGTTGTTAGTAATGTATTAGCGACCCCCACAGATGTATGATTTCACTGCCCAAAACATTTGAATACATTTTTTAATAACGTTTTTTCTTTCAAATTCGAAAAATCTTCTTGTAAATTCTAGCTTTTTCCTCTGAATATTACCCCCTTTTCTGGCCTGTATTTCTATTTATTTCTAACCCTACAATGTCTCTTTTACAAAGTAGTTTTCTTGCAAGAAATAGATGAAATCCTGATATTTCTAACACAATATTTCCCTCTCTGCTCAGGTGGAAGTGGAAGGTTCTGGTCGTGGATGAAGCTCACAGACTGAAGAACGCAAACTCACTGCTGCACAGAACTCTGACGCAGGTACTGAGCTGCAGCTGTATCCTGTTTCTTTATTATTTACACTATAAGCACTAAATCTATTGTTGGTAAAATAGTGAGTGTGCTCCTCCAACATGAGCAACATGCTAACAAAGGTATCCCAACTGCAGCTGTGAACATGACAGGATGTATGATTACCTAGAAGAGCATCAGGACTGTTTGAGGCATATGATAGCTATGTGATGAACATGATGATTCAGCCTCTATGGAGATAGACATATGACAAGCATGCGCATTTCTGACGTGGAGCTAATCTGAAGTAAACATTGAATACTGCTTTCTATTCCTCCATCTTGTGACTGTGTAACTCCCTCTCTTGGATATCAGCATGTGAAGGACACTGTTCAGGAACTAGTTGATGCTCTGTATGTGATGACTACTTCCATTCTGGAGAGGATCACAGATACATGGATCCTGAGGTTGAAGCTCAAACTGGGGACCAGGGAGAGTTTTCTAACATGTATATGTTCTGGTGTAGTTCTCTGTGGGTTTCCGGGTGCTTCTGACGGGGACTCCGATCCAGAACAACCTGCAGGAGCTCTACTCCCTGCTGAGCTTCATCCAGCCGGCCGTCTTCAGCGCCAAGGAGACGGACGACTTCTGCAGCAAATACGCCAACGTGCAAAACCAACCGGCTCTGGGTACGATACGACTTCTTCTTGTTAGTGTTTGTGCAAACCATTTTTTTAAAGGTAGAACAAAAGAAAGGTTAGAGAGAGGGAAAATATAAAAAAACAAAAACATTATATAGTCTTTAAGATTTAAGTGGTTAATTAAAAAAGTAAGTATTCTTTTAGATTTATTTAGTATATTTACACACAGAAAATCACACATTTAAAAGTAAAATATTTGTAATTTTAAGTCGTACATTTACAAAAAATTGTCACAAATACATAAGTAAAAAAACGTGGATATTCTCCAAGATCAAAGATAATAATAATGATAATAATAATAATGATACATGGGATTTGTATTGCGCTTTTCCTAATGCTCAAAGCGATGATGACGATTTAAAAAAAAATTATTTAAAGGGGACCTATCATGCAAAATGCACTTGTGTACGTCTTTTCTACATGAATATGTGTCCCCGGTGTTCCAGGGAACTCACCAAGTGTCAGAAAACACAACCCTCTCTATTTTCCTCCATACCCAAATCTCTAAAAAAGGGGCTGCAACGGATCTGATAAAAACTGATCCAGATTTGAACACTGTCCTGACGTCAGGACGGTGGCGCTACGGCTATTGGGCCAACTCCACCAATCAGGAGGAGACAGCCACGGCCATTGCCGTTCGAAAGTGCTGGAGACGCTGTAGTACATATGCCAGGCCTGTAGGTGGTGCTGTTCTCACAGAATCAGACCTTGCTAAAACAGGGCTAAAAAAGTTCAAATTGAGCAAAATGAGGCATGGCTAAAATGCATGATCTGTTTGGTATTTTGAAGAAAAAAAAAGTATAAATATGCCTTATATAGGTATGGTCCTACACTATATTATTCAAATATAGCATGATAGGTCCACTTTAAATATTCTCTGGTCAAAAATCATTTTATTTAACACGAAATAAATTGTCTTGGACATTTCTTTATTTTTTGAAATACGAAAAATTACACCCTTTATAACCTATTTTTGTTAACCTCCTATCCTATCCTTATACGATTGAATACGTGTCCAAACGGGCCTCTTTAAACTACACCCGGCACATGGTGTGTCCCTCACATCGGCGTAATTTATACTGGGGACACTGGGAACATGTCTCCACCACTTTGCATTGGGATAAACTATTGAAACTGTTCTGAAAATAGCGCACAAATAACCTAACCTTGACCCTTGACCTGTCCCCAGCCTCTGAGCTGCAGGGCATGCTGGAGCCCTTCCTGCTGCGCAGAGTGAAGGCTGAGGTGGCCGTGGATCTGCCCAAGAAGACGGAGCTGCTGGTTTATCACGGCATGTCGGCGCTGCAGAAGAAATACTACAAAGCCTTTCTGATGAAGGACCCGGGTGAGGCTGTAGTGGTATCAATACTGGGAGCTAAATACTCTGATTGAAGGATTCATCAGCTAACAGTCATAATATACAAACATCCCTTTGACCAATCCCTTACAGAGCAGGTTATTCTGCAGTTTCTATTTGGGAAACTTTACAACTTTGACACTGACTGTGTTTACATCATAATATTCAACTAATATGAAGAATATTACAATATTGTTGATTTGAAATTGTTCGAACAAGCATCAAGCACCTACTTTTAAACATGATGCAAGATTGGAATATCAACATGTTTTTTAATATGCATTCATATCCAAACGCCAAGACAAGGTGGTTAAAGGAATCAAAAGTGGGAGGTTGTGTTTAAAATGTAAAAAAACTGCTATTTCATGCAGAGACGCACAACTGGAGCTCCAGCCTTTTCACTTTTCCTTATTTTAACATGATAAAACTCATGTTATTATATCCTTAAAGGGATTATGCATGGTTGCCAGTAAGCAGGACGTTTAATTTTCATTAGTCATGTGAAAATCTAAGTAGGATTATTGTGTTTTTGGCAATAAGTGCAACAACACTGAATATATTAGTCACTGTTTCTGAATTATCTCAAATCCAGTTGGAGTTTCTTTACAGTAATTTCTTCTCATTTATCCTCCAACATACACCAATGTATCTGCAGTAAGCTATTAATGACTGATATATTTACCTGGCTAATTCATCGGTCTATCTCTACTGAGTGCATTCTTCGAAGTAAACTTTATCTTCTAAGTAACCGCCGCCTTTGACACCATTAACCAGTCCATCCTCATCACCCGCCTTCAGTCCTTAATTGGCATCACTGGTACCGCCCTCGCCTGGTTTAAATCATATCTCTCTGGCAGAAAACAATTCATTTCCATCAACAACTGCAAATCCCCCACCGCTTCAGTCACTCTGTACTCTGTACTTGGTCCCCTGTTTTTTTTTTATCATTTAGATCCTCCGCCAACACCTACTCGACACCCAACTCTACCTCTCTACAAAAACTATTTCTGCAACCACCCACTCCCAACTCACCAACTGCCATTAAAAAACATGGATGCAAAACAACTTTCTGAAACTAAACTGTGACAAATCTGAAATGATCATTATTGGCCCAAACTCACTCTCCCGCTCAACCCATGATTTATCTCTAAACATCAACAACGGCTCCATCGTCAACCCCTCAACTCCCGTCCGTAACCTTGGTTTCATCCTCGACCCCGCTCTCACTTTCCTCCCTCACGCTAACCAGGTCATAATGATGTTTTTCGGCCTCCTCGTGCCTCTCTGTGTGTGTTTCCAGATGCTTTTGGAGGCGATCAGGGCAGCAGGAACCGTCTGCTGAACATCCTGATGAACCTGAGGAAGTGTGTGGACCACCCCTACCTGTTCGATGGTGAGATATAAGAGAAAGGAAGTCAGGAAATAGAGATTCATAGGATCTTATTTAATATTTAACATGTTTCTGTGGTCAGGAGTGGAGCCGGAGCCATTTGAGATGGGGGAACACCTGGTGGAGGCGAGCGGGAAACTGTGTCTGCTGGACAGCATCCTGACTCACCTGCACAGAGAGTGAGACATCTACCTGCTTCATTATATATCACACCATGTTAACTACCTGCTGACACACCTGCACAGAGAGTGAGACATCTGCCTGCTTCATTATATATCACACCATGTTGACTACCTGCTGACGCACCTGCACAGAGTGAGACATCTACCTTTCATTATATATCACACCATGTTAACTAACTGCTGACGCACCTGCACAGAGAGTGAGACATCTACCTGCTTCATTATATATCACACCATGTTGACTACCTGCTGACACACCTGCACAGAGTGAGACATCTACCTGCTTCATTATATATCACACCATGTTAACTACCTGCTGACGCACCTGCACAGAGAGTGAGACATCTACCTGCTTCATTATATTGCTGTTAGATTCAGGCTCACACCATGTTAACTACCTGCTGACACTGTGTGTGTGTGTGTGTGTGTGTGTGTGTGTGTGTGTGTGTGTGTGTGTGTGTGTGTGTGTGTGTGTGTGTGTGTGGTGTGTGTGTGTGTGTGGTGTGTGTGTGTGTGTGTGTGTGTGTGTGTGTGTGTGTGTGTGTGTGTGTGTGTGTGTGTGTGTGTGTGTGTGTGTGTGTGTGTGTGTGTGTGTGTGTGTGTGTAGGGGCCACAGGGTGCTGCTGTTCTCTCAGATGACGAAGATGCTGGACATCCTACAGGACTACATGGAGTTCAGAAGTAAACACAGTCCAACTGTCTCTTGTGACACACTATAAATATGTACTGATTCTCCTCTCTAAAGATTAACAGAATATATATTTACATATTTCTCCTCTGTGTTCAGGTTTCAGCTACGAGCGTCTGGACGGGTCGGTGCGCGGCGAGGAGAGGAATCTGGCGGTGAAGAACTTCAGCAGCAAACACATCTTCGTGTTCCTGCTGAGCACCAAAGCAGGTGAGGAGGAACACTAGATCAGCGGTTCCCAACCTTTTTCAACTCAGGGCTCACTTCAGAATCTAAAAGATGTTTGCAGCCAACATTCAACCATAAACAATACGGAGGCTAAATAAAGTTCTGATTGGTCAATAAGTAGTGGAGTACTATTACCAGAACAATGTACTTAAGTACAGTAACAAAGTATTTGTACTCCAATACTTCCCACCTCTGCAATTGAGGCAGTTTCCATCTGTTACACTGAGTTCCTGTAGTGTTTTAGAGATGCCAGCAGGTGGAGCGTTGCTTCTTTAGACAGCAGTGGGACTGGTTTGTAGATATCAGAGTCATTTTGTGCGATAAGCCGACGCTGCAGGATCTGAGTCTGCAGAAGAGGAAGGAGATGTCTCTGATAAGAGCCGCTGCAGCATGCACGCTCTGAAGAGAGAGACCTGACTTCCTATCGCAGCGTGTCACAGTTTGAGTTAATAAACATCTGATGTGTTTTCAGGGGGCGTCGGTCTGACCCTCACGGCTGCTGACACGGTCATTTTCATGGACAGTGACTTCAACCCTCAGAACGACCTGCAGGGCGGCGGCGCGCTGCCACCGCATCGGGCAGAGCAGGTGAACCACATCACATGTATAACACATACAAAATGATTTATATAGAAAAAAAACAATTATATATATTTTTTATTATATTTTGGAAATGTTTTAATTAGAACAAATATTTTCTTTTAAATTATAAAAATAATTTGCTTAAAAAATCTTTAAAATTATTTTCTTAAAAAATACTTTTATTAGAAATTCATTAAAAATACTTTTATTAAAAAATATTTTTAAATGCTTTTTGTTTTAACTAATATAATGATGTCAAGCAGGCTGCATTACAGAATTATACAACTGTGTAGGAGGGCAATTAAAGGTTAAAAACAATGCCAGAAGAGGGGGCAGTATCCCAAGAAGGAACTCAGAATTTCTGAGATTAAAGTTTTTTATTTCAAAGAAGAAGAAAAAAAGATTTGCAGAGATTTTAAAGTCATACATTGCAATATTGAAACTAAAGCCAATGGAGAAATCCCATTGGACCAGGGGGCAACACAGCAACACCTGCAGCACCCTATAGCTGGAGAAGCCCTTTAATATCTGTCTGTACACACAAACTGAAAGCTTGACAATAAAGTATTTTTCTTCCTCCAGGCCGGTGAAGGTGATCCGGCTCCTGGCCAGAGACACGGTGGAGGAGATCTTGTATTCTCGAGCGGTTTCCAAGCTGCAGCTCACCAACACGGTGATAGAAGAGGGACGCTTCTCTCTGATGGACCAGGCGCAGTCAGCGGCTGGAGGGCTAAAGGTTAATAACACACTATAACACATACTGTAAACACCTGACAGCATCCGCACATCACACAACACACAGGGTGGTGGGAACTGCACAAACATCACCAGGATGTGCTGCCATCCATGGAGGACTAGGGCTGCCCTCGACCAAAGATTTTTGTAGTCGACCAATAGTCGTCAATTGAGGCGATTAGTCGACTGATCGTTGCATGATATATTATTTATGATTATTACATGGTTTAGTTGAATACTCGATTCTGATTGGTCAATTCAGAACACGTGACACGTTGTTAATCCAGTAGTACAGACCGTTGTTAAGGACGTTCACATCTGCAGACAAGAAGTCCGGTCGATTGAACTGTATACAGTTTGCTTTTCAAACTGTTTGCTTGTCTTTAGTTTTCCGTTGTCTCCCGGCTAAAATAACTGGATGGCCTACCTGCCTGTCAGCCTTCCATCTGGGCACAAACTGATCTCGTGCCCTCATTGGTCATGTGCGCGTTCGTGTGTGTTGGAGGAGGGGCTCTGTAAGGAAGTCTGAAGGAAGGGGCAGATTTTTTCCGGTTGTGTATTTTCAAATTTGAACGCACTCGAGCTGCTTTCTCCATTCTTACCTACCCCACCTTTAAGGCAGGGGGGTCAAACTCAAACACACAGTGGGCCAAAATAAAAAAATGGGTACTAGTCGAGGGCCGGACTGGTTCAATGTTTATTGCAAAACTTATTGAAATGAACTATCATTTTAATGGTAGATTTATTTTAACAATGAGAGTAAGAATATCAAAAAGAAAATGTATGAATTATTTGATCCCATTGCAACCAACACTTCTTTGAAAGTGGGCAAACTGGAAGGGATCAAATACTTATTTAAACATTCTCTTGTACTCTTGGATTTGTCTGATGTCCTTTTTATATTGATGTTGCTCTGTTGGAGGAGGACTTCAGTTTGTCATATCAACTCTGAAGCCGCTGAGCTCATGGTGATAAAGACTTGAAACTTGAAAATATTAGCTGCTACATTTGGGGTCAAATTCAGACACAATATGATGTTCTTACACGACCAGTATCAGCCGTCATACCCAGAGTAACGGTAGAATATCACTGTGCTGTAAAGGATGTGTTTTCTCTGAATCCTGCGTCTCCGTTTCCTCTTCTCTGCGCGTTGTTATCTGTGTTTCTCGTCTCTCTGGGGTTTCCTGCAGCTCAGTGAGATCTTGAAGTTCGGGGTAGATAAGCTGCTGTCGTCGGAGGAGAGCTCGGTGCAGGAAGTGAAACTGGAGAAGATCCTCGGTCCGTCTCGTGAGGGTCGGTGGGCGGAGGAAGACTTCAGTAACGTCAGAGAGGAAGAGGAGGAGAAAGAGGAAGAGGACAAACAGAGTAGGTTTTATTTCTTGTATCACTCTGTTTATATGTGCAGAATATTTAACCTGCTTTTGGGTCATCACGTGACCTTTACTGCTTTGTTCTGGAGTCTAAGCTTCATTCAATTTACTTAAGAATAATACAAGCCAATAAAATTGCATAAATATTAAAATAAAATATTAAAATAAATACAAAACTGTCTTGATAGAATACAACTCAAATCAAATCAAATTTTAATTAAGTAAAAATCAGATTTTAATTAAAGGGGACCTATCATGCTATATTATTCAAATATAGCATGATTGGTCCACTTTAAGTAAATATGTAATTTAAAAATGTAAATAGACTGAAATAAAAATAAAATCGTGCGAGAAGAAATAAAAATTGAAAAATATAATTAACTTAAAAATATAGTAAAAATATAAATAAAATAATTCAAGACGAAAAATAAACAAGGCATTAATTACATTTGAAATTATACAATAAATAAATAAAATTGAGCAAAAAGAAATATAAATAAAATATTTCAAAATTCAATAAAATGTCATTTACAAGTGATTTAAAAGCACAGAGAGTTTGCAAGCCTGATATCATCTGTTAGGTTGAGCACGAGTAGATCTAGTGCCTCTGATACCTGATACCTGATACCTGATACCTGTGCTTGTGATGATGATGATGAATAGAATACACCTGTTCACCTGCAGACCACATGTACTTCTTCGAGGGGCGGGACTACAGTAAGGACCCGAGCTCAGAGGACCAGAGCAGCTTCCAGAGGCTCCTGGAGGACCAGGAGGAGGTTCAGAGAGGAGGAGAGGGAAGAACGCTCAGACACAAAGCTGGAGTAAGACTCAATATCTTTCACAGGATATATATTCATGCAACGCTTTAACCTCAGGGGTCTGGTCCATCATTATAGTGACGGTGGAGTTCAAATGGATGAAATTATTAGAAGTTATAGTAAAAAGGTGCTCTCTATGCTTTAAGAAACCTCAGAAGATCATAAAGACTCTCTGGAGAGATGCTTGTCTTTCAGAATCAGAATCTGAGAGAAAAGTCGGATTTTAGAGAATTTATTAAAAAAGTTGGGATTCTTTGATTTTGAGAAAGTCAGAATTTTGAGAATTTCAAAAAAAAATTCAGAACTTTGATAATTTTGAGAATATCAGAAAAAAATTGGAATTTTAGATTTTCAGGAAAATACATAATTATTAGTATCTGTGAATAAAAATAATAATTTTTTAATTTTCAGAATAAGAATCTGAGTTTCTGAATAAAGTCAGAATTTCGAGAATTTCTGAAAAAAACATACATTTGAGAATTGTTTTGAAAAAAGTCGAAATGTTTTGATTTCTTACAGGTGCTCGGCGTAGAGATGATAACAAAGACTGTCTCTCTGTAGAGATGATAACAAAGACTGTCTCTCTGTAGAGATGATAACACAGACTGTCTCTCTGTAGAGATGATAACAAAGACTGTCTCTCTGTAGAGATGATAACACAGACTGTCTCTCTGTAGAGATGATAACAAAGACTGTCTCTCTGTAGAGCAGATAACACAGACTGTCTCTCTGTAGAGATGATAACAAAGACTGTCTCTCTGTAGAGCAGATAACACAGACTGTCTCTCTGTAGAGATGATAACAAAGACTGTCTCTCTGTAGAGAAGATAACAAAGACTGTCTCTCTGTAGAGATGATAACACAGACTGTCTCTCTGTAGAGCAGATAACACAGACTGTCTCTCTGTAGAGAT